CTACCACTTTGTTTATTTAAACGGGGAGTCATCTCAATTATAACCAGTAAAGTATGGAGTGCCACAAGGATCTGTCCTAGGTCCTCTACTATTTTCAATATACATGTTAACCTTTGGTAATATTATTAGAAAATACGGAATTAGTTTCCACTGCTATGATGATGACACTCAACTATATATCTCAACAAGACCAGATGAAACTTCTAAATTATCTAAGCTAACAGAGTGTGTTAAAAATGTAAAAGATTGGATGACCAATAATTTTCTCCTATTAAATTCGGATAAGACAGAGATATTACTTATTGGACCAAAAGACAGTACACAGAATCTCGTGGATTACAATTTGCAACTAGACGAATGTACGGTTACTTCCTCTACAGTCAAAAATCCGGGTGTTATATTAGATAGCAACTTGTCTTTGAAAATCATATTTCCCATGTTACAAAAACAGCATTCTTCCATTGCGTACCTAACTAGCCTTCTACCACGCTCCTTCTACCACAATCCATGACGCTCCCTAAGGTCGCAAAACTCTGGACTTTTGGTAGTACCTAGGATAGCAAAGTCCACTAAAGGAGGTAGAGCTTTTTCGCATTTGGCTCCCAAACTCTGGAATAGCCTTCCTGATAACGTTCGGGGTTCAGACACACTCTCTCTGTTTAAATCTAGATTAAAGACACATCTCTTTGACCAAGCATTCAAATAATGCATCTCATAATCTTGTACTGCAGTTTTATCTGATCAAATGCACATTATTATTCCTTAGCTTGGGTTGAACAAATAATTTTTGCTTGGTTGGAACAGCAGCTACGCTAATTATTCAGGTTCACATAGGCTGGTGAAATAATCCTTTGACATGGTTAAAAATAATGAATGTTTCCTGTCGCCAATTACGTTTCCCTCTAGTGGGCGTAGTTCACAGAGTAATGTGACGCGTCGCGCTTTACTTTTGAGTTCCTAAACATTCGTTTTTTTGGGGTCGACAGCTAATAAAAACGTAGTTCTGGGTTTTTTAGTTTGTTTACTGTACATCTTGTCACATAGCAGCTTTTAGGCATTGTTCTGTTTTGTTGTTATAAGTCAGAAATAACAAGGAGGCAGCTTCCCGCAATACAAAGTCAATGGATAGCGTTGGATTGTTTTCCCCCCCGGTGTGGGCGTGGTTTTCAGATTATGACGCGTGTCGCTCTGTCTCTATAGACTCCACGTCAGTGACCTCAGGTTGTAAACTCAGATGTAACGGAGTAAAGTTGTCACTCATATGCTGTTGTTCAGTTTCTCTAATATAACTGTAGACAACCTTAATTACATTAGAGTTTCCTGTATTCTTATGCATTCTTTGCATCTTGCTTTGAGTCCTTGTAGCTGCATGCCGTCACTGTTGGTCTGCCAAAATTCACAGGCAACATCCATCAGGAATTTGCACAATCAGAACAGTGACCGCACTTTTAGTCTCCCGGTTGAAATGTGCGGGAATGCTGTGCTTTTTGAAATTTCTCTGACCACATATAGAAGCTCTCAGATTTCTGAGCTGGTCGGTTTGTTGTCAGCTCAAACATGCAGCTTTCTATTGACTTTGGAGTGATGAGCATCAAATAACAAAGGGTCTCGCAACCGGTTTGTTAAGCCACAGGGGCTGAGGCACTGTGTTCATATCATTGTGAAAGAAAATGTAATTTTATAGTTGAGCTTTCATTTTATTATGATTTTTTTGAAGACTCGAGTACAATCTTACATAGAAACTTTGCCATTAGCCTATATGTTCATACTTGTATTTTTATTAAATTTACTGAAAGATATAAAATGAGGTAAGATTTCAGGTCACAGTAGTTCATCTAAGAAAAAAAGGAAAATGGTAGGTGCATGTAGGTTTTCGACAGTCTTTGATGTCTGATACTCCACCCTCTTATATTGTAAAGTATTGTCCTATTATATATTATATTGTCCTCAACATTTTCCCATGTGAATTTTATTTAGTCAATCCACTGACGACAATGATGATCTTGACCCTGGTGTCGTCCACATATCTCAACATCAAGACACTGCAGAATCCAGATATAACCTCATTAATTTCTTAATTTATCCAAGTGCAGCAGTGATATGTTGGAAGGATTTCTCTCTGTTCATTCCTCATCATAAACTGTGTGTGAATTGGGAGTTGTCTATTTTGTGGTGACAGCCACAGATAAACTCTATTACTACTATCATGACTTTCACAAAATTCCCTCATAACTCCTCATAACAATCACGAGTCTGATGCAACCGTGTGGATATTTTTAAATGGCAGAGACTTTGCATCCCCCAGATGCCTGATAAAACTGAGCCAAAACTATTGTCAATAAATCGATAAGTTGCTGGCATTTTGTTCAAAAACACTTGAAAGGAAGCTGAAGGTATTTTGGCACACAAATGCAGCGGCTAAAGAGAAATGTGTCTTGTGAGAGGAGCACATAATGCTAATGGACACAAAAACTGCCAGTATAGCAAGAGTGTCACAGTACACCATTAATATCTTTTAACTTTAATGTGGTGGATTTTAAAAGAGCACTAGCAGCCTGCTGTAATACCACTACCACTATTTGTGACAAAAACAGCAATATTAAGAGAACAATATCCCATTACCTTAGGAAAAGCCAAAACAGTGAAGGGGAATGACAGTTTCGCTCCCAATAAATGAAAGTAAGCTCCCCAATTTTTACAAGATCTGGGTCAAATATATTTCATATGCTTTTTTCAAGTGTTGCATGGAAATAGCAAGAGAATGTTACAATATTAGATATAACTTCATACAGACAGAGTTCATATGTAACCAGCGTAAACCAGTTTTTTGCTTTCTTTTTAAGGAAAGGACAAATTTGGTGAAATTAACTAGTGCTGAAACCAGAGTATTCCTTTAGGTTTGTTAACTATAAGAGACCGATTGAATTAAATGAAACCACTTTCCATGCAATACACAAGTCCACAATAAGTATAACAGACCATGAAACGCACTGGACCCAGGTCATGTATTTATATGACAAAAGGAGAGAAGAAAAGCAAAGCCCCTCTGACTGCACAGCACACATATTCACCTTCTCATCCTTTGATGTATCAGATACACACAAACACACAACCACAGACAATGAGGTTACACATGATTAGTGCAGTGATTAGATTAGTATGAACATAATCATGCTTGAATTACACACAATATACGGTCATTAGCAAAAGGCCTAGTATCTGAGAATTAAAATCAAGCCGTAGACCAGCAACCAAACACAAGTGTAGACGCTTGCAAAGGACAAGATATATCACTCATGCTGAATCAGTGCTGCCATAAAATATATATATATATATATATATATATCATCTCCGTGTAAAAATAATGTAACAGATATCACCATACTTCCCCAGCTGATTGATTACATTAAGATTTGCAATTACAAGTTTTCTGAAATTGTTTAAATGCAAATGAGTCATTATTTAAATATGTGCAAATAATATGCATACAGTTCCTTTCATTTTGTTGACATTTTTTTTACAAGGGATTTTGGATCTCTCTTTTTATCACTCCATTAATCAGAAAATACTGTCAACATCCAGAAAAAAATAAAAAATAATAATCACCATATTTTTAGAAAAAAAAAAAAACTGTATAAAATATGAATGATATATGTACAAATCCCTCTGTAAAAACCTTCAGAATGTAAACAGGAATAAAACTAATGAAACTGGATTTGTGCAGGAGAAAAAAAAACTCATTTTGAGAAAACGGCCTTTAAAAGATACGTATTGTACAGGCACAAATTGATAAACTGCAATAAAATAAACACCTAAGTCTATTTTGAGTGTTTTCTTTCCAGTAGCCTGAAACAACAGTTTAATCTCAAATCTCAAAATTGACCAATGCATGATAAAACAATGTGGTAACGCTTTAGGGACCAATCCTCACTATTAACTAGTTGCTTATTAGCCTGCATATTACTAGCATATTGGCTGTTTATTAGTGCTAATAAAGCACATATTCTGCATGAGCATATTCTACATCCCTAATCCTACCCAATACCTACATTTAACAACTACCTTACTAACTACTAATATGTAGCAAATTAGGAGTTTATTGAGGGAAAAGTCATAGTTAATGGTTTATTAATAGCAAGAATTGGACCTTAAAATAAAGTGTGACCAACAATGTTTTGCCTGTAAAACATCAGCTTCCTGATGTCCATAATCAATTCTTCCCCATCCAAACTAATAAAAACAAATTGGTGGCAGTCTCTCAGATTATACAGAGAAGGCACTGGAAATAAATGCATTACCTCTGGACTCTTGCGGTTTTGAGGTATCAGCTTGTCTGAATCCTTGGTAGAAAAGTACCTTGTGCATCCTCGACTTAGATACTGGATTAAACAGAAAGTGTATACAAGAAATGCTCAGTAAAAGAACACCTTTGAAAGAACACCTGGCAGACAGTCAAGGATTACTCTACTTAGTATAATTTTACATTTTGCAACACTTTGGATGATCACACACTCAAACTGAATTGAAACCAGTGCTCCAATTGATCGGCAACCGATCACTATCGGCCGATAATCGCTTTGGGATTTTTAAAATGCACTGCATGATCAAACATTTAGGTGAGATAAATATATATTTTTGAAAAATGTCTAAAAAATGCTCCCCTCCACCCCTCAAATAATAATAATTAAAAAATCTCCTCTCACAAGAGTCACCTATAAGAGGGAAATTCCCCCCATTTTCAAAAATGAAAATTTTGAATAAATGTATAAATGATAAATGACTGGAGTATTACTAAAAATAGTTCTACATGATAAAAAGAAAGCTTTAAAAAGATCAGTATCGGTGATCGTATCGGCAGATACTGCTTTCTGTGATCGGCCTCAAAAATCCTGATCGGAGCACCCCTAATTGAAACATGTCAAAGTAAATGACATGGTGCTTGTTAATGTCTTTACTGAGACTGTGAAATCACTGCCTGGCTATTCTACAGAGGTGAAAGTGTAGTGTAAGTGTATGTGTCAGTCTGTGAGTTCACAAACCCTGAAGCAGTCTGGAGAGCTGAGGTGGAACTTCTCCTTGATGTCTTCAGGAGCTCCAGCGCACAGCCTGTAGAAGATGTGATAGTTCCTCTCCTCCTGGCCCTGCGTGCAGATACGGGACTTCTCCAGCAGGTAATGGGACACGAAACCACCTACTACTGCATTCTGGAAAACAAAGCAGCACTGCGTTCAAATAAACATGTAACTAGTTAATGTACAAATCCACACATCAGCATCACTACACGTCACATTAATTACAACAACTGCAACATCATATGGAGTTGCACTCTGTGTACAACATAACAACAAACTTAGTTTAGGGACCAATTCTCACTATTAAAGGGCACCTATCATGCCCTTTTTTACAAGATGTAATATTTTTGTAATAATAATAAGTCTCAGGAGTCCCCAGAATGTGTCTGTTAAGTTTCAGCTCACAGATCATTTATTATATCATTTTGAAAATGCCTATTTTGAGTGGAAGCGGAAACAGGCTGTTTTAGTGCATGTCTCTTTAAATGCAAATGAGCTGCTGCTCCCCGCCCCCTTTTCCAGAATAGGGCTGCCTTTACAGTTCGTCCCTCAGATAATCTGCTAAAAAACATGTGATTGGTATTGATATCATGTCTATCGCGCTGAAATCCTGAGTTTTAAAGCCATATCAGTTTAAACTTCTGATCTACGGTTTTCTTTCATGTCTTATTGCACTTAAATGTCAAATACACACAAGTTTATGTTATAAATATGCAGAAGTTACAAAAACACAGTCGGTTATGTTTGCGAAGGTAAACAGCTGGGAAATAAATCACATGTTTATAATAGATATACGTGTTAAAGGTCCCATATTTTACACATATTTTACAGCAAAACAAAGGGGAAACTGGAGGCGGCCCATTCAAACCAGCGCAGATTCGGCTACATAAGGAGCTTAAAATATCATCTTGTTGTGATGTTGGGTGCCAGAATCGACGTAATACAGCGTCAAATTAGAAATTTGATCGCATATCTGCTGCCACTGCCAGACAAAAAAAAAACGACGACAGCTGTGGTTAAACGCGATAAAACGAGCAGACTGGACAGAAACGATCATCAAAAATGCTCGCGTTTGCAGCGCACACTTCTTAACAGAAAAGGTTCAATAAAGTATTGTCTTTTGTTGTTATGGGCGCGTCTACAGATTTCTTGCCATATGTCTATGTTGCATCTCACGACTATGTCTTATATGAAATAATGTCTGTGTGCATTTGTGTAAAACAACAAACTGACGATTTATATATAATCATTTTTGTGTTGCGAGTATTTGCAGCACATTTCTGTATTTGGTTGTGTTGCGAGTATTAGCAGCAAATTTCTGTATTTGGTTGTGTTGCGAGTATTTGCAGCATGTTTCTTTATTTCGTCGTGTTGCGAGTATATGCAGCGAATTTCTGTATTTGGTTGTGTTGCGAGTATTTGCAGCGAATTTTTTTATTTGGTTGTGTTGCGAGTATTTGCAGCACATTTCTGTATTTGGTTGTGTTGCGAGTATATGCAGCGAATTTCTGTATTTGGTTGTGTTGCGAGTATATGCAGCGAATTTCTGTATTTGGTTGTGTTGCGAGTATATGCAGCGAATTTCTGTATTTGGTTGTGTTGCGAGTATATGCAGCGAATTTCTGTATTTGGTTGTGTTGCGAGTATATGCAGCGAATTTCTGTATTTGGTTGTGTTGCGAGTATATGCAGCGAATTTCTGTATTTGGTTGTGTTGCGAGTATATGCAGCGAATTTCTGTATTTGGTTGTGTTGCGAGTATATGCAGCGAATTTCTGTATTTGGTTGTGTTGCGAGTATATGCAGCGAATTTCTGTATTTGGTTGTGTTGCGAGTATATGCAGCGAATTTCTGTATTTGGTTGTGTTGCGAGTATATGCAGCGAATTTCTGTATTTGGTTGTGTTGCGAGTATATGCAGCGAATTTCTGTATTTGGTTGTGTTGCGAGTATATGCAGCGAATTTCTGTATTTGGTTGTGTTGCGAGTATATGCAGCGAATTTCTGTATTTGGTTGTGTTGCGAGTATATGCAGCGAATTTCTGTATTTGGTTGTGTTGCGAGTATATGCAGCGAATTTCTGTATTTGGTTGTGTTGCGAGTATATGCAGCGAATTTCTGTATTTGGTTGTGTTGCGAGTATATGCAGCGAATTTCTGTATTTGGTTGTGTTGCGAGTATATGCAGCGAATTTCTGTATTTGGTTGTGTTGCGAGTATATGCAGCGAATTTCTGTATTTGGTTGTGTTGCGAGTATATGCAGCGAATTTCTGTATTTGGTTGTGTTGCGAGTATATGCAGCGAATTTCTGTATTTGGTTGTGTTGCGAGTATTTGCAGCATGTTTCTGTATTTGGTTGTGCTGCGAGTATTTGTAGCGTGTTTCTGTATTTGGTTGTGTTGTGAGTCAAACTGATGAAGATGTTTTCTTAATTTGCAGGTGTTTTTTTTCTCTTTGCATGTGTTTTTTCATTTGCAGCGCGTTGAGCTCTCTCAGCCACAGTACTCATCTTGCCATTTATGGTGGATAACATGAAGCACAGGGGACATACAGAATCTTCAAGACAACATTTGCAACAGAAAAATACTCACATAAATCTTATCTTTACTGTAGCGCACACGGACATTATTTAGTAGCGTGGCTTCATTCAAGTACATCAGTGAGCCTGTAACACACACACACAAACAGATGAAATCATTAGTCAGTGCTGTCATTTTATCCAACACATAACAGGAAGATCTCAAACACAGTAACACTTACAGTTGTCCTCCACATGTTTGTTGACATCATCTTCAGCAGGGAAGACTTGATTGACAGGAGCTTGAAAATTCTGGAACACAATTACTTTAATGTTAAACGTACAGCATGCTGAAAACATGACAACTTGTGTTAGTTACATGCTTTACTCATCCTCATGTCTTTCCAAACAAAAAACTCTTGTTCATTTTCGAAACTCAAATGACGATATTATAATATATGTAATGCAACATGAGAGACCCTCTACTGAAAGTGCACTGCTTCAGTTTTAACAGTGAAAGATGCAAATTCATACATGGTTATCAAGTTTTAATTCTAATTCCTAAAGTTCTAACATTAAATAATATTGATTATCATATTATAATGCTTGACTGACTGATGTTAAGAGTGTACTTTCAGATATTTAAAAAAACTGCCATTTTACAAACATATATATATATATATCTATACACTAATCAACATTTGAAGTGGATCAAAACCTTTCATCAAAGTTGTCCTAAAACCTAAAAATGCGTTCTTGTCTTAGGACAACGTTGATGAACTTTTTTTGATCCACTTCAAATGTTGACTACTATATATATATATATATCAGTCTGGCGAGTAAACTAAACAATTTACTAGCCAATGGAGATTCAATTGTCAAGGTGTCCGTAGAGGGTTGTATATACATAATAAATATACACAGCACACACCCATATTATGTAAACAAAAACTTTTATTTTGGATGCGATTAATCGTTTGACAGCACTACGTTTAATATGTAAATACATCACTAAATTAAATCTGTTCCTCATATAAAGCCATTGTGTCTCTTCAGAATACCTTCATTTGCATAACTTTTACGATCTTTATGAACTTTTTGATGCATCAAATTTTGGTTGCATGACCTGTCAATAAAGGGGCAATAATCTCTCAGGTTTCATTAAAAAATATCTTCAATTGTTTTTTTTAAAGATGAACAAAAGCCTTACAGGATTGGAACAACATGAGGGTGAGTAACACCTTTCATTTTTGGGTGAACTGCCCCCTTAATATGTGCGATTAGAGATTAGATTGCTCAAAAGCAAACACCATTTCCATAGCAAACACATCAAATGCAACAGTGAAGGTTCCTGCTTTATGTATTCCACCTCCATGCTTCTGTTCTAATATCAGACAGTAGTGTGTACTCCACACACACACACACACACACACACACTTGTAGCATGTGAACAGACGGCCCATTGTGCTTTCACATCCCGGCGACATCACACTGCACACAAATCACATGGGCTAGATGTAATGCTGCACACAACACTCTGTCTTGTAGTTGTCACATGTGAAAACACACACACAAACACACAGAGTTATTGCTACTGTAATCTTTGTCAAGCTCCAGAGATAGCCAGACTTCATATGGGCAACAGGATGTGTTTGCAGTGGCTCTGAAAACAGAAGCATTCATCCGAAGAGTTTAAATCATTCTGCAAAGAATCTGTGAAGTGCAAAAATGTTTTTGACAGAAACAGAACAGGAGAGGAAATGTGAGTACCTTCATTATGAGATCGCATTTGCAGTTCCTCATTCTTAAGGCAAAAGCATTTTAATAAAAGCTATTAAATCATCCGAACTTTAATGTGGGAATGCAGTTTTTAATTAAGATTTTCACTGGTGTTCCTTGACAACCAGTAAGTGAGCGAGCACTTTTATTTCCAGCCTGAGGTATAGGTCACGTTTGTCTTCCTGCGTTTTCTACAGAATTGTGTCTCCCGTTCACCCCTCCCCATTATTTTTAACGGCGACCGTCTTGAAATGAAGTTTTCATATGACAACGCAGTTTAAGATATATATTTAAATAAAACATTAAAACTACATTCAGATGAACAATGAGCCAGTAATGATTAAAGTTTCATAAAGCTCCAAGATGTGCATTCCAACATTTCAAGATGGACAAGGCTATAAGCAATGATAACTTTCAGCTCAGAAGTCAGTCATATAATGATTCATTAACTGCTCTGATGGATTCAGGGAGTTCATTTAATGAAGGATTCATTTGAATATTCAAATAGGTAATGTAAAATTCCAATTGATTCATTATAATTACTGGTTCATAATCAAGCACAGTCATGTGTTTGTGAGAAAGACGTGTTTTCCTGCCATCATTTTCGGTGTCTTATTTTCTCGCCACAATTCATTTAGAAATGTTTACTTTCTTTACAAATGCACATTCTCGAATTTAGATAAAATGTGATTTATGCCATAGAGCGGTAGATTTACAAAGTTGTGCATGAAAAACTAACCCTTTAATAATATAAACCTTCGGTTACACTTTATTTCGATAGTCCACTTTAGACATTCTACTAACTATAAGTAACTTTGTAACTACATGTCAACTACATGTCAACTAATTCTCATTAATTTGCAACTACATGTCTACTAACTCTCAGAGTAGACTGTTAGGGTAGGTTTAGGGTTAGTAGAATAAGTTGACAAAGAAAGTGTTAGAAGATAGTCTTAAGTGTTAAGCAGACAGTCAGATCATCAGCTCATTAGTAGAGACTCCAAGACCTGAAATTGGTGTGTCAGAGACAGGAGATATGCAAAATGTGCAGTGTTGGGGTGCCTCCAGGACCAGGGTTGGGAACCACTGTGTTATTACATGAAGACAGTTTAACCAACTTTAACCTGCTCAGCAAGATTCTCTTTAAATTGTTGATCTGCCATAACAGAAAACTGAGCATAGAAGAGCATTTATATAGTGCACTTGTACATTGCATTATGAATGGCATTCTGACACATATTAAATGCAAAAAACTATAATAACAGCTTGTGTAACTGGAAGCATGCGTGTTTGTGTACTTGTGTGTGGTATGTTTCGGCCCGTGTATTTTTGCAGACGCTCGTCCTCACCTTCCCTCTCTGGTTGAGAGGCTCGATGGTCAGACTATCGGCACTGATGTCGATGATTCTGCCCAGCTGGAACCCATCCGTAGGGTGGGGCGCCCACACCGGCTTTCCATCATCCATTTCACCGCTGAGGAAGAAACACAGCAGAACCAGTGAAATGCCAGAGGATGACTGGGGTCTACAATACTGACAAATCACTGAAAATGTTAGCTTGAAGCATTGATGGAGATGTGTTCATATGTTTGATATGTTTTTTATTGCCTAATTTAGAAATAGCAAAATGTTTAATGAGAATATATCAGGAAAAATAGCACTTACACATTGAATTTACATTTGTGTGGTGAAATTGTAACAATTTTTATTTTGCAAATATAACTATTTCATTCAAAAATTATGTAGTTTTTGTAGAATCATACAATTGATTGTGCCTCATCAAAAAATCAGAGCTTTTGGTAACTATGGAAAATCTGAAAATTATCATTGATATTAATTAATAATATTAATTACAATTTATCCTAGTTTTTGTTTAAATTGCATTTCACTTTTCTGGTTTCTGATGGTACTTGTTTTCAATTTCATATTTATATATTATATGCGATATATAAATGTTAGTTCATTTCTCTAACAGGTTGGATAAAAATGGCCTTTCAAAGAAATGGTTTGTCTGCTGATGTTTTTAATCTCACAGTAACACAGCAAAACTGAAAGTGTGGGAATTATCCAAACAAAGCCTAACGCTTTACTCTAATATTCATATGGTGAATACAACGGCAAAATGTAGCAGCACTAAATTCAAATCTCAAAGGGGTGTTTCTCAGCTGATTTATTTCATTTGGCGTAGAATGAAAATTATCATTAGTATGGCCACAAATTTCACAACAATCAGATTTAGATTCATAACAAGGTCCACTGTGTAATTGTAAATAAACGTTTGATGAAATTCAATAACTTGCAAGCTAGACATACTGGGATGGGCTTCATTAGAAAGACTAACGACTACTGAGGGAAAGATAAATGGAGCAAAACACAGAGAGGTGCTTTATCCAGATCACATAACTCAGACTCCAGAATGAACACAAAGCAAAGTACAGCCAATACAACAACGGACTGACTGGGGTGCAAGTCTCCACATCTGCATGCAACACATTTTAAAAACACATATGCTTTTTTGCATCAGTTTTGCATTGGACTGATGCACCATGTTTGTTTGTTTGAGTCAGGTCAAAAGTTTCTACATTTAAAATGCCCTCCATTTGATCGCTCTCTGTCTGAATATCTCCACTGTCCAGCTGTTTGAATACAAGATCTTTTTCCTGTATGATCAGCATCTCGGCTGTTTACTCATTTTACAACATCAACTCTGGTAACACTAGCTTCATTATCATTTAGGAAGAGACAGGGAAGCTTTCTGACATTCTCAGCGCTGGTTATGTTGTACCTAAACATGCTATTATGCTGCTTGCACTGGAGCTGCTCTAAACGAATGAGGCATTTACATAGTGCTTTACTACACAAATCTGTATACTCAAAGCAGTAACACTTTAGTGTAGGGACCAGTTCTCACAATTAACTAGTTGCTTATTAAAGCAAGCACATATTAATGCCTTATTCTGCATGCCCTTATTTTTAGATCCCTTAATCCGACCCCATATACAAACTTAACTACCTTACTAACTATTAATAAGCAGCAAATTAGGAGTTTATTGAGGCAAAAGCCATAGTTAATAGTGAGAATTGGTCCCCAAACTAAAGTGTGACCGAATCTGCAATTTCTTGGTTTGAATGTTGGCTACCAAATGTGATTAATGTTTTATTCATGTACAACGTAAGCCTTATGAAGCAATTTATTCTTATTTAACTTGGCCTATATGAAAGATCATTTGAAGCACTACTGAAAATTTTGACAAAAACCATGTAATCCATGTAAATCATGATAGACTTGTAAATATTTAAGCTATTTTTTTCCCCCCAAAATTGTATGAGTATGCAATAGCGCAACACTGAGCGACTCATTTACAACACATGATAAATAAAAGGTATCTTTTCCATGTTAATCAGTTTTTGTCTTAAACAGTAAAATGTAACAGTGACAGGGGATTCTATTTTTGAAAAGATTTCCGTTTCCATGACGTTGTGTAAGTTATTGGATAGGCCATCACTTTGCATGTTTTTAATAGCCTCAATGGAAGCAACAATGTATAATTTACCAGAAAGATCTTGAAAATAATGGTTGAACGTTGAATCTGTAAACAAACAAGTGTATTAATCTTGATTAACTTGATTATGTACTCGCGATAATGCTAGCAGAGTGAACTTCTGATTGGCTGTGATTGATTTTTGTCGTGTCTTACTCTTTAACTTTAGACAATTAGCTTGTTGCTGGAATCTCATCACATTGCGACTGCTTTGGAATAGCGCTGTCAATCGATAAAAAAAAATGTACTAATTAATGGCACATTTATTTTCTGAAATTAATCACGGTCAATTGCGATTAATCCTGCCTAACGTTAACGTTTTTAAATATACTTTTACACTGCCCTAATTTCACATTCAATCTTCAAATTAATGTAGAAACAACATAAAGGCAGTATATTTTTATTATTTGTTTAATGGCATCTTTTTTCTTTGACTGACTGCAAGTATCACTGATACCAATACTACTGATGTCTCTAGGAAATAGTCCCCCCCCCCCCAACATATTATAATAAATGTCACATTTACATTTGCCCTTCAGCAAGTAGGAGATATACAGAAATTTTATAGTTTGAAGTTTGAAGTTATCAAACATTACATTCGAAATTAAATATGCATGAATCCTTAAAGCTACAAAAGTTATTGATTTCCTCTTTTTTCTTTTGTTCTTTGATTAACAGACGTCACAGCAGCTGGGTTATTAGGTTATTTGGCTGCTATTACTTTAAGAGCTGCCACTGCTGAACATGATGCGGATCTGACACTCGTGCTCGTAGTTTGATTCGCGCTTTAATATGAAATGATACAGGCTACACAATGCGTGCCACCGCATTTGTGCATTTAATTGAAGAGCATGTGTTACGAGCACAGTATAACAGCTGACAGGACAGGAAAATTCATTCATTCATATGGCCTGACAACATCTCATCTGACTGCAGTTGTTGTTCTACTGAAGCTACTTGTCACCTGTACTGTTTCTGCACTCGTTTGTGAAGTGCGTCTCTGAAAAGACTCCCGCTTGATGTGGTCGTAAAGATATTCTGCGTTTAAAGGGGTCATATGATGCGATTTCAAGTTTTCCTTTCTGAAAAAAATAAAATAAATAAATATCGGATTTGGATCGGCCCTCTCTGACCGATACCCGATCCGAGAAAAATGGCACTATCGGAGCCGATACCCGATATGAATATCGGATCGGCACATCCCTACTTTAAACCAGTGTGGCAGTGCAAACAGCCTCAGGGTCCAGGAATGGCACATCAAAACAAGATCACTACAAAGTCACCCTCCACCTGTACCTGTGGACTCACTACACACATCCCACAACACACTGTATCACCACCCTCATCCACTTTCAGAGCCACCTGGAGGCTTCAATAACATCCACTCTCTGTGTTATTTCAATTTAAAAAAAATGTCACACACACTCTTTGAAATGTTGCCACAACAACGCTTTTCTTCAAGCTCAAGACTAGAAAAAGATAAAAAAATAAGGCCAAAGTTCACAAAGTAACTTATTGTCAATGTTGTAAAATTTATTGGGTACAACTGGATCTGTGCAAACTGAACCCATCATTTCTTCCTGGTCTCGTGTTGCTGTATAATCATTTCCATTTATGGGTCAATGTCATATAAAAATACCCATGATAAAGATAAGGGAAAAATCTAGTTTAACACACGTGACAATTTCTTAAGAATGTGTTCTATGTGCTCATGTTCATTTCAAATAATAACAAAAAATTATAATAACACATACTTTACCAGTATACCAGTTTTTACTTTAGTATTTTGACACAGTATTTTTGTTGTGTGATTGTCATTTTTATTAATTTGTTTTTATGTCTATATGATTTGCATTAATGTTTATTTATTCGTTTTAGTTATTTTAGTACTTCAAGTTAAACTAAATGAAATTACATTAAATAAATAAAATACGTTTAAGGTATACATACATGCATATATACAGTAAAATAAGCATTGAACACGTCACCATTTTTCTCAGTTAATATATTTCTAAAGGTGCTGTTGACTTGAAACTGTCACCAGACGTTGGTAACAACTCAAGTAATCCATACATACAAAGTAAACAAAACAAATAAGTTCAGAAATTAAGTTATGTGTAATAAAATAGAACGACACAGGGCAAAAGGATTGAACCCTTTTTCCATTTTCCGTCATTCCATTTTAATACATATAACTTAATTTCTGAACTTATTTGTTTTGTTTTCTTTGTATGTATGGATTACTTGTATTGTTATCGACATCTGGTGAAAATTTCAAGTCAACAGCACCTTTTGAAATACAGAGTTCTGGCATGAAACTCTAGATGGCGCAGTCCGATAGGTC